ACGCACACGCGAAGAGGCAGAGAAGGGGAGGGAACCCGGGAAGGAGGGGAGGGGAGGGGAGGGGAGGGGAGGGGAGGGGAGGGGAGGGGAGGGGAGGGGAGGGGAGAGGGAGGCAGGGGCGGGGAGGCAGGCTGGCGCCTCCTTGCGCCGCTCGTACTGCGCGATTAGGCTCCGCGAGCCGCCTAGGGGGGAAGGTTCCTGGAAAGGTCCCGGAGGGGTGCTGGAAGGTCGCCTTCCTCCCTCCAGCTGTGAGCGAGGCATGCCTAGTGGGGAAGGTTCCGGGGAGGGTTCCGGGAAGGTTCCCCGGCGGTGCCTGCTGCTGTGTGACCAGGCTGCGGCAGCGCCGAGGTTGTCGACGGGTTCCCAGGTGGAGGCGTCCTCGAACTCGCCCGGCTCGTCCCTCCACTTGACCAGGTACTGCGCACCGCGACCAGAGGGGCCCCGTCAGACAGCCCGCCGCTGAGGAGGCGGCGGCGAGAGGAGGCGGCGGCGAGAGGAGGCGGCGGCGAGAGGCGGCGGCGGCGAGAGCGGTTGTGCAGGGGCCGAGACTGGCAGTGGCGGCGGGCAGGGCGGCGGCTGTGGCGCAGGCGGCGCAGGCGCAGGCGGCGGCCTGCTTCTCGCCGGCCTCGATCCTGTCGTCGAGGATGTCCTCGACCTCGTGCTCGCGGCCGATGATCTGCGCCTCTTCGTCCTCGTCCTCCTTCTCGGCGTCGGCGGTAGCCAGCAGCATCTCCTCGTACCTGCGGCGTCGCCGAGGGCGCTCAGGTCGTCTGGCGCAGACGCGGCCGGCAGTCACTGCCGGCGCACCGCTGCTTGAGCTTGGACGCGTCGGTCTTGCGCTGGCCGAGCACCTTGGCGATGGCGCCCCACGCCTGCTCGTTCTCGACCTCCTCGTAGCCTCCCTGCTTCGCCACGGCCTCGAGCAGCACTGCGTCGTCAATCATCGTCTGGAGGCACACAACACACACGGCCGCCACACACGGCCGCCAGCGAGAACCAGTTCGCTGCGAAGAAAAAGAATTACCTGTGCAGTTAAAAGCAACACAGTACGAAGAGGCAGACTCCCCAGGGTGGGCGACGGCTAGCGCACCACACTCCTCTCCTTAAAATCCCTGTGTGGTGGCGGCGTGCCGTTCTCCCATCCCTCCCTTGGGTTGTGTGTTTTCTTTCTTTCTTTCTTTACAGCACCGTGGTCGGAGGCGGAGGCAAATCAACTCACCGCCCATCCCCTAATCCGTCTCGCGCGTGATCGCGAAGCGCAGCACGCACGCGCTGAAGTCGAGCGCCGCGATGCCGTTCGTGTTTCCTGCCGAGTCGAGGTGGTGCCGCTCGTGGATCTCGTAGAGCGAGCGGACGAGGAGCGCCGCCCGCGCGCGGGCCGCCGCGGGGAAGAGCGAGTGGCTTGCCGGCGACCACGGCGCCGCCGCACGCCGGACCAGCGCCGCCGCCTCGCCCTCGCCGCTCGCTGCGCACCCTGGCGCAGCACCAGCTCGCCTCCAAACAGGCGCTCTCACCACCGCACAGCACACCACGAGCACCCGCAGCTGCACTGCTCAACGCTGAAGCTCAGGAGCCTCCCCTTGTTGTCGCAGCTTTGTGCAGGGCAGCGTGCGAGCGAGCAGCGCAGCGCCAGGGCGACCACTGGCACGCCCGAGCGGCTGTGGGGGGGGCTCGCTCAGCAGTGCGCCGGGTGCCTCGGGCGCGGGGGCGCCGAGGCAGCCTGCCACCAGGAATGCGGCCGCGACGGCCCACGCCATCCTCCTTCTCGCCCCCCGCCGGCAGAAAGCGGCGGGCATGGCTCCACCTTGAGAGATACCGCTTCAGTTCGGGGAAGCACATAAACACACGTGTTTTGCGACGGTTCGAGTGTGAACATAGACCAGCTATTGGGTGGGGTTGCAACTCCTCTCTCTCCATCCACATACACACATCGCCCCCAGACATGCTCCGTGTGTGTGTGTCAACCCCTCACTCAACC